CATTTAGCTCAAAACTAAATATTTAAGTTAAATATTTAGTTTATAAACTATGACATTTATAAATGTATGAATCATATGGTGAAAAACTGACTTTGAAAAATAAATCTGTTCTTTTTTTTCTTATAAAAGGCTAAATAAAACAAAATTGTTGGTGGTAATTTTTTGACTGTGTAACGTTACAAACGGCAGCCCATACTTCCCCGTCACCTCTGACGGACACATGATGATCACTGGAGGACTAACGGTGTTCTCCTTCCTCCCCACAGTCAGGTCAGGTTTCAGGGTCAAACTGAACCAGTTCCTGCGTTCAGCTGAACAACATGTTGCAGCTGAGAAAACGTGGTCCTCGAGGACCAGCATCCAGCAGGACTCTCCTCCAGCTTTAAGAGTTAATGAGGCGGACCCTCCGTCCACTGAGACCAGAGGTGGACCACCTCGTGTTTCATGTACCGTTTAAAGCTGAAAACTACAGCGATCATTAATCACAAACGTCAAGACCCTGCGTGTGCCAGTGATGTGCCTTTATGCTTACAGTTGATTGTAAGACCCTACGGGACGAAAGGAATGTCTGCACTTTTGTCTCATTAGGAGGAAAACACCAGAATGAGGCTGGCTGCAAACTGATGAAACAAATGCCACAAAGTGGTAATTGTGTCCTGAGGAAGCACATTTGTTCCTTTTATTAGTTTACAACAATGTGAAGTCAGTGAACTCTGATCAAATGTTACTGAAACCTCTGCTCTCCTGCCTGAAGCGGTCAGATCCACCTCTTTTTAAAGGAGACTATTTCTGCAGGGACGAGCATATCCCTGTGAGCAGCAGCTTCCTGCTCTTACCTTTCTGTAGACGATCATGTTGGGGTAGTCATCGTCCGGGTCCACGGTGCTCATGGACCTCACGGAGAGCAGAGGCCGAGCTGGTTTCACGACCTCATCCGGCTCCTCGGACCCCTCAGATCCCTCGTCGGGTTCGGTTGTCTCTGCAGAGCCCTGCAGCTGCTCCTCTTCCTCCTCCTGCTGCTGCTGCTGGTCCTGCTGCTGAGGTGCCTCAGCCATGGCCACGGTCTCCCCGTCAGCTGTCTTCCTCCCTCTGAAGTCGTCCTGTTTTCTTTAGCGGCGTCAGTCTTCCTGCTTTACATCCTCAGAGTCTGGAGGCTGCTGCAGGGAGACACAGAGAGATGAATTGGACCGTACAGAACCCACCGCTTGGCTCCATCTTTTATCAGCTCCTCTCTGTCTTCCGTCAGGAGGAAGAGGATGGAAGAAAAGAGAGGGATGATAAATTCTCCTGCTTTTCTTGCTGGTCTTCTATCACACGACACATGCTGTGGAACGTTTTAATCTTCTGGCCTTTCTCTCTTCGATGCTACATCAACCAACAAAAGAAAACAATTGATTTTAACTACGAGGATTTGTATTTCATTATGCCACTGTTGTATCCAAGTTAGAGTCTAACGAAGCTAAAATATCACCTCGTTAAGAAGAGGAGAATTGAACCCAAAGAGAAGCAGAGTTCTCCTGGAGTTTTCTATCAATCAGCTGCTCTCTTTGCTGCTGAACACAGAAAATCAGCTTAACTAAAACTTTCCTCTCCAGTAAATGCAAGTCATTAAATGTTTTAACAGTGGCGTCACTAGGCCTATTTTAGGGGGGCTGGAGCCCCCCTAAAAAAATTAAAGCCGCCCTAAATTATTTTGGTGCAAAAAGTTATTATTATAATTTATTTTTACAAAAATTCAACGTGAATTCAATATGATGTTTTGGGGGTATTTTTGAATTGATGTTAAAATATTATTTGGCCTTAAATGATTTAAAAATAACTGTGGAAAAATAATCTGAAAGTGTAGGTACAATGGGCCTCATGCAAGAACATGTTCATATTCTTCTCTTAAATTTCTCTTACTTTTGTTCGTACGAACATGTCACGTCAGATTCAAAAAACTCTTCTATCTTCAGGAAACGTGCGTAAATGAGCTGCGCAAATGCCACCTGTTCGTATCCAGCTGCTCGTGCACGCGAGAGGAGATTAGCATAATTACCACCCCAAAAACACCATATAAGGCTATGTTTCCTGCCTCAGATACAAGGAAGTGTCCATTCATGAAAATGACTGCGATAATTAAAAAGAAGAACTTTACGAGTTCAGAGATTGAAGTCCGTCTGTCAGAGATCCAGAAAAGAAAATCTCTCATTTTTAGCAGGTCAGCTGTGGAATAAAAAGAGCTGCTAAAAGTATAAACAACTGTGTTAAATCATTTTCATTTATTCAGAAGCCACACCGACGTGTTCCTCCACCTGAATGCTCGGTCACTAACAGGTTTACCACCAGCAGCGTTTCAAATCTCTAACCAAAATGTTAAAAGGCCTCCTGAAACGCACAGGGATGCAGTGCAGAGAGGTCAGAGCTCTCCTGGTCTTAGTTAACAACCTCACTGCAGCGTTCTGCGCAGACTGGAGGCGAGCCGAGGACGATTTGTTTCAGAGAATTAAACGAGGAAATAAAACAGTCTTTCGCTCTTTCTGCGACACAAAAGATCCCAGCTTTGAAATATTTCTTAAATGATAAAAACAGTTATTAATTAATGTTTTACAAGGAACTGTCAAAAACCACACCCAGACTTCCTGAGACTATTTTTCACAAAAGGAGTTAAGAAAAGCAAAGTGTTGTCTCTTTACAGGGATTTTAACATCAGTTTGATTTCTGACAGTTACAGTTCAGACAGTTTAATAATAAATAATAATACATTTTATTTGATGGCGCCTTTCTAACACTCAGGGGCGTCACTAGGTTTTAAGGACAAGCAGGGCTTAGCCCCCAGGAGACGCATAGAATTTTTGTATATTTTATATTTTTGTTTGTGTATATATATATATA